CGTTGATATTTCTAACTTAAGGTCCCTGTCCCTTCCTCTCTGAAATTAATTTTAAAAAAATATATACATACAGTAGGGCCTTGACTTACGAGTTTAATTCCTTCCGTGACGGAGCTCGTAACTCAAATTACTCGTATGTCAAATCAAGAAGTGAATGAGTGAGACACGTGATGCTGGGCTGATGTTGTGGCGTTCACTGTGAGGTTCGCTGCGCCAAATAGCGGTGGGGTATCTGAAGCTGGCTCGTAACCCGAATTTTAGCTCGCAACTCAAAGCAAAAAAATCGGCCGAGAGACGGCTTGTATCTCGAAAAACTCGTTAGTCGGGACACTCGTAAGTCAAGGCCCCACTGTATATAAATAGAAAGGGGAACAGAAAGAACAAATAGTGAGAAAAGTGAGTGCAGACCCTTGTGGGAGTCCAGAGAAGTAAGTTCTAAGCTTTACGGGATGGTTGTCTACATGAATGTTCTTTGAACAGGGTCTCTAGGGATAAGAACAAGATTTTCAAAGTAGAGAGTGGGGAGGGGAAAGGCAGTTTATAATGAAAGGGAATAATAATGGTGCAGAATGTTCAACAAGGGAAATTCTGAGAACTACAGGTAGTGAATGACTGAAGCAAGACCAAAGGTGGGGACGTCATGTATTTAATAAATACTGGGGAGCCCTGGTCAGTTTGGCTTAGAGGATAGAGTGTTGGTCCGTGGACTGCAAGGTCCCAGGTTCAAGTCTGGTCAAGGGCAAGTACCTCCATTGCGGGCTTGATACCGGCCCTGGTCAGGGCTCATGGGGGAGGCAACCAATCAATGTGTCTCTCTCACATTGATGTTTCTCTCTGTCTTTCCTCCTTCCTTCCGCTCTCTCCAAAAAACCAGTGGGAAAATATTCTCCAGTGGGGAGTGACAAAATAATGATAATAATAAAAAATAAATAAATACCAGAGAATTTACGCTGCCTAAAAGTGTACTAGTGGCTATGAACAGACATGAAGAAGACCTACTGGCTGTATTCAAGGACTTCTCAGTCCAATGATAGAGACAGATAAGAAAACTGGCAATTTCAATCTAGGGTAGTAAGTGTAGGAACAGTGATAAAGAAGGTTCTGGACATCTTCCCAGGATAAGGGTAGAGGAAAGGCAAAGTGTGCTCTCACAGCCATAAGGAAGCTGACTTACACAGACAGAAGTCCCCACTCCTGATCCCCGATTGGTCTGTCCTCATGATTGATTCAAAGGGCACTGTCCTGATTGGTCAGAATACAGCCATGTGATTGGTTGGAGCTGCGAAGTTTCCACTGGTTGGAGGAGGCCTCAGTCCTATTGGGAGAAGGAGAATTCCAGGAACTCCTTTAAAAGAGCTGGCTCAGATGGCAGGACACCATGCAGTAGGCAGTTTGGTCTAGCCTTATCCCCTGCAGTTTGCATGAGAGGCCCCTGTGCAGAAATAGCTGCTAGGTGTTTTTTTTTAAATATATATTCTACTGATTTTCTACAGAGAGGAAGGGAGAGGGATAGAGAGTTAGAAACATCGATGAGAGAGAAACATCGATTCAGCTGCCTCCTGCACACTCCCCTCTGGGGATGTGCCTGCAACCAAGGTACATGCCCTTGACGGGAATCAAACCCGGGACCCTTCAGTCCGCAGGCCAACGCTCTATCCACTGAGCCAAACCGGTTAGGGCTAGGTTTTTTTTTTTTTT